GCTGAATCTGTCTGTCTCTCAGGTGGCCACACAGGAGGAGTTCTTCAATCTGTCTCACTGTCAGCTGGTGACGCTGATCAGCCGTGACGAGCTGAACGTGCGCTGTGAGTCCGAGGTGTTTCACGCGTGTGTGGAGTGGGTTCAGTACGACCGGGAGAACCGGCGGCTGTATGTGCAGGCTCTGCTGCAGGCGGTCCGCTGTCACTCGCTCACACCGCTGTTCCTGCAGCGCCAGCTCGAGCGCTTCGACTGGGACGCTCAGAGCAAAGACTACCTGTCGCAGATCTTCCAGGACCTCACGCTGCACAAGCCCACTAAAGTCACCCCACTCCGGACGCCCAAGGTGCCGCAGCTCATCTACACGGCTGGAGGATACTTCCGGCAGTCGCTCAGCTATCTGGAGGCGTTTAACCCCGGCTCCGGAGCCTGGCTGCGGCTGGCTGATCTACAGGTGCCCCGCAGCGGATTAGCAGCCTGTGTCATCAGCGGCCTGCTGTACGCCGTGGGCGGCAGGAACAACGCTCCGGACGGAAACATGGACTCCAGCATGCTGGACTGTTACAACCCCATGAACAACCGCTGGCTGCCCTGCGCGCCCATGAGTGTCCCGCGCAACCGCATCGGCGTGGGCGTCATCGACGGCATGATCTACGCTGTGGGCGGCTCGCACGGCTGCGTCCATCACAACAGCGTGGAGAGGTGAGACGGTATTTCGCTCCTGCAGAGCTTGTATTGTTCATGTGTTATAACCAGTGTGCCTTTGCAGCAGGTAGATCGCTCTCAGCACAGCCGTCTGCAGTGAACGCTACTTTGTCCTGTTACGGTTTCATAATGAGCTGAAAATATACACATCTCATTATAACAAGAAGGATCTCTAATGTTGTGTCTTGCACCATTACTTTGGCACAGTGTTTTCGTCAACAACATTTTTTTCACCGACGACATGGAATAAAAACTAATTTTGAATGATAAAAACTAAACTGGTTTTCAGTCAGAAATCCAGTCAGAACGAATCTCCTGCGTGGTTGGGAGTTTAGATGCGAACATTTGAGCTGAACGGATCTATCCGGCGGGACATCAGCTAGCATACACCTGCTGCACGTCTCATAACACGATCAAAAATATCAGCGATGATATGATACATTTGAAAAAGCACGAAAGAAAAACTCGATTCAGTTTTCTGAGCGCACACACCCTCTTAGACAGCACACGAGTTCTGAATTCAGTTCTCTTTCGCGTCTTATCGCGCATGAACGGAGAAATGCACACCAAATGATGTCAGTTGGGAGAATATCGGATGTGTATCAGTATATTGCATCCGTGCATTCATTTTTAAAGGGACAGCAGCCTCATTTAGTTGCTGTTGTCTGTGTCATTAATATTAATCAAATAACAAAAGAAAGAGAGAAAATCACTCACTGCTCTTGACTGGACCACTTTAGTAGCCCTAATAAGGATTAAGTTTAATTCATATAAATAAGTATGTCTGCTTGAAAGAATGAAGCATGTTGTAAGCAAAGTTGTTATAAAGAATGCATATTATATAACCATTGGTATTTCATTGAAAAGAAGACAGTGTTCTTGTGTTTTTATTTAATTTTAAGATATAAGACATGTTATGTGTCACAGCAGTTAATAAAGCAATAAACCCCGTGAAGCCGTGGTTTACAGTGAATTTATAACAGCTAAGGGGCGTTTGTTAGGTACGATGCGAAGCGGAGTTAGCTGTTATAAATTCACTGTAAACCACGGCTTCACGGGGATTATTGCTTTTATAAAACGGTTATTCCATATACGTAGTAAGGTTTCACAAAATAAAACAGAGCAAATAAAGTGTAATGATATTAATAAAAACAGTATTCTTCCACCAAACAATGTAGCTCCTTAGAAACAGTTGTGGTTGCTGCAAAGTGGTTGCCGAGCAACACACAAACGTAAACAAAGGTGTATGTTACTTTGTAGAGTAATTTACAACAGCTTCGAACGTGGCTCAGCCAATCAGAATCAAGGACCGGAACTATCCGCTTTATAAACCTGTGTCTATATTGCATGTTCAGTCCTTAAGATCATTCATATTAACAGGTTAATAGATGTTTTATCCAGGAATATGTGTATGGAAATAAAAAAATAAAAAAAAAAGCTTAATAAATGCATTACACTATAACTAAACCCATTAGATTTTAGTTGATTAAATCTACAGTCGACTAAAACTAAATCAATTCAGGTGACTAAAATATGACTAAAACTAAATCAAAATTTGCTGTCAAAATGAACACTGCTTTGAAAAAACTGAAAGGCTGTGATTTAATTAAATAAGTATATGCGTGTTTCAGAGGGAAGCGCCGCTCGGTGTTGATTTACACGCGTGCAGCTCATGATCCGGTGATTGACCCTAGCGTATTCGCAGAAACCAGTTTGGGCTTAAATGATCAGACGCATCGTTTTCACCTGGTTTTCAGCTGTAATGATGCTCTTCTCACGCCAGACACGAGAAAACACCTCAAAGCTTTTGCAACCGGGTAACACTGATTTGCTGCGACGCTTCCTCTGTGATGTTTGTGGAGATTAGTGATGAATGACAGACATTACTCTGTGAGTAGAAGGAAGTGGAAACCGCTATTAATAGATACATAAACACTGAACTTTGCAGTGAGTCACTGGAGTTATAAAGACTGGTCTGTCTGTCAGGTGAGTTTCAGGTAAATCTGTGACGCTCCTCAAGATGTGATCTGACTTACTGACGACCGCAGTAAATAAGCACAGCTCAAGTAATGACGAGCACGAGCTCCAGTGAGTGTGTCATGCAGGGGTTGTCTGTTTGCGTGTTCATGTCAGGCGTTGCGTGATGATTTATCTGTGTTTGATGTGTTCAGGTATGATCCAGAGAGAGACTGCTGGCAGCTGGTGGCGGCGATGCTGACGCGGCGGATCGGAGTCAGTGTAGCCGTGATCAACCGGCTGCTGTATGCGGTGGGAGGCTTCGACGGCACGCACCGGCTGAGCTCCGCTGAATGCTACAACCCCGAGAGAGACGAGTGGAGGAGCATCGCGTCCATGAACACGGTCCGCAGTGGCGCAGGTCAGGCCCTACAGAAATAGCTCGTGTTAAAAGCTCAATCGTCCTCGTTTACTTTCCTCATGTTGTTCCAAACCTGCTTGAGGGCAGTGAATAAATGACGAGAGGACGAACACTCCTGTCTGAACCGTTCCTCAGACTTTCTTTAATTACTGAAGAACATTTTTGTTTTTTCAGGCACTGGGTTAAACATTAGTGACCAGACACAGATCATTAATCAGACCGGTTTGTTTTATGATTGTTCAAACACAGTGTTGGGTAACGCATTACAAGTAACACGAGTTATGTAATCAGATTACTTTTTTCAAGTAACTAGTAAAGTATCGCATTACTTTTTAATTTACAAGAGAATATCTGAGTTACTTTTTCAAATAAGTAATGCAAGTTACTTTTTTTTTCCAATTTATTTATTGACAGCTCTGGTGTTGCCATGGTGACAGAAATCAGAAGAAGTTACTGTAGTTCTAAAATAAATATGAATATGCATTAATTCATCTCACTCAAAAAAAACAAAACAGATTCATTATAAGTAACGTAATTAGTTACTTTTTATGGTGCAACGCAATATTGTAATGCATTACTTTTAAAAGTAACTTTCCCCGACACTGCTCAGACAGCAGGAAGGCATGTGTTCTTTGATTTGTTGATGTGTGCTGCGTCTCGCTGTGAATCCGGGCTGATGTCAGGCGTGTTCTGAGCGTCATGTGATCTGTGTTCAGGCGTGTGCGCTCTGGGGAACTACATCTATGTGATGGGTGGATACGACGGCACCCATCAGCTGAACACCGTGGAGCGGTACGACGTGGAGACGGACGGCTGGAGCCTCATCGCTTCCATGAGACACAGACGCAGCGCTCTGGGAGTGACGGCGCACCACGCACGCATTTACGTGCTCGGTACCAGCTGCATCTTACACTCAGAACGGACCCTGTTTGTGGGATAATTGTAATCCCAGTTATGCATTATAATACATTTCTATTCATTGTTACACCTTTAGAAAGTATAAAACACATGACAAACAAACCCTCAAATATTATGATGCATTTTAACTTTGGTTACAGTTATTTATGGAAAGATATAATGCATTACAATGTACATCATCAGTATGTATACATAAACGCTTTAAGTCGAGTGTTACTGAAATGCTCATCCGTTGCTTATGAAAAGTTTGACTGATCCAGTGCTGATTATGAGACGTTGACTGGTTTGTTTGTTGTGTGTCTGTAGGTGGGTATGATGGGAACACGTTCCTGGACAGTGTGGAGTGTTATGACCCGGAAACAGACGCGTGGAGCGAGGTCAGCAACATGACGTCCGGCCGCAGCGGTGTCGGCGTGGCTGTGACCATGGAGCCGTGCCAGAAGGACCTGAGCCCGTGTCAGAAACACTAGACACACCTCCATCTGTCTCTGCTCATTAAAGATCTCTCTCTCTCTCCCTCCCTCTCTCCCTCTCTCCCTCTCTTCCTCCCTCTCTCTCCCCCTCTCTCTTCCTCCCTCTCTTCCTCCCTCCCTCTCTCAGCCGGTGTCATTAGCGCACAATACATCTGTTGTTCTGATGAAGCTCAGTGCATATGAGAGTCTCCTGTGTGTTCTTCTCTTGAGTCGAGTCGAGTGAAGGTTAAGAATCGAGCAGCAGAGCTACACGGGATCGTCTGAGCTGAATAAAGTGCCATGAACCGCCGCCTCAGTATGTGCTGGACTCCGACGCTTCACACCAGTTCATCAGTGCAGTTTGACTCAGATCAAGCTGTTCGGGTGATTTTGTATTTGTCTTTTTCATGTCAGACGTCCATCCCTCTTGAAGCTGATGGTGATTTTGTGTGAAACGAACTAAAGATCCGCCTCAGAGCAGACATACGAAATCATTTTTACTAACAGAATGAGCTGTGAAGCGTTTGCAGATTTATCTAACTGAATTCCAGCCTACAGACGCATTTGATGCCAACATTGTTTTTCTCTGAAATGAAAGATGATTTTCACAGGCTGATGAAATTATGTATTTGTAAAACCAATTTAAGCTGCTTTTCCAGGGATTTTGTACATTGGTATTGCATGAAGTCTGTTTTTTCTTTTATTTATTTGAAATATTGTCCCTTTGCTATTAGTGATTCGCTCCTGTTTGTTCTCAATGAACTGAACTCGGGCTCATTTTTACAAATTATGCTTTTTGTTTCAAAAGGGATGCGTTTTCCTTTGAATCATTCAAAATTAAGTATAAAGGTTTATTTAAAGTCTGCCTTGTATATTTTACAGCAACGAATACATTGTACAAACGTTGTATATTAAAAGCGTATGTTTCCTGCAGTAGTTTGTGTTGATTTGTGAGGAGAATCATGCGCGCGGTGGCGCCAAAACACAACACCAAGCGCGGGAACGCCATGAAAGCGCGCGAAATATTGATATAATTATAAAATCTAGCTATAAACAACAACAACAACGATAACAGATGGATAGACAGATTCAGACAAATTAGGTTTAGGTTACAAACAACATTCAGCGATTCAAACTAAAATGTTTTGAGAGGAGCAAAGAGAGCTCTCACAGAAACCTGTGCACGTCATTAGATTATAACATAAACGTGATTTGTCCGATTCATAACTAATAAGGAGACATAAAGTGTCGCGAGTCGGTTGTCATGATACTCCGGCGCTCAGAAGCACAACAAAACCAACCTGTTTACCCAGTTTTAGTGATTTAATCTGTTCGCGCGTGAACTGAACATTTCACAACGGAATGCCAAATTAGGCAGAAAAAGAGAGAGCGTGAAATATGAATGCTGAATATGAATCTGTAGTGTTAGGCTGTTTAACTGCGTTTATATGAAGTTTACAGATTGACCTCTGACTCAATGAGTTCTCGTGATGAAACGTGTTCTGGGAGGCGCTTGAACAGCATTAAGCCTCGAAGAAACTCTGCAGCAAGGCTTCGAGTCGCGGGACAGAGTCTGTGTCCAGGTGCTGCTGAGGAACAGGTAACAGGTGAGGAACAGGTGAGTTCAGCTCCAGTCCGCCGCTTCTCTGGCACAGCTGCGACTCCGCTTTATATCGGTTTGTCTGTAAACAAGCAACAATACTGGAATCTGAACACAAGTATCCGCTCACCTGTGATCAGCAGGGTTATTACTGTCCAACAGTCTCTGCGGTTGAGTTGGTAAAGTCAACATAACGCGCGTTCAACACTGTAGAAACTTCGCAGAAACTCTTGAAAGTGTCACGTGGTGCTGAGTTAATCAATAGATGATTGAAACCGCAGCTAATGACTAACCACGTTTGCTCACCTTCATTATGTCAATATTAGGCAAAGTATTATAATTGCTTGCGGTGATATTTCAGACTGAATCTGTCTCTGTCCTCTGGCAGGTGTGGAGATGATTCCTGTGAATGAGTTCCGGAGCATCACGAGCGAGCAGAACCCACAGTTCCGGGTCCTGAAGCCCTGGTGGGACGTTCTGTCCGAGTACCTGGGCATCGCGATGCTGATGATGGGGGTGTTCGGCTGCACGCTTCAGGTGGGACATCCATCCGATCCGGACACAACAGAGCTTCACATAATGGCATCAGATTACCAAGAGTTCCCATATGAGTCCGTGTCACACAAAACTGTCCTACTGAGGCTATTAATCAGTGACTAAGAAGAAGTAGTTCAGATGGAAATGAAACCGTGTCATCTGTTCACTGAGAGTGGACAGTGACTTTTACTGCCAGACTCCACAACAAACGCCATCAAAGTATAATAACAGTCGTCCATGTGACTCGCGCACTTTATTCAGAGACTTCTGAAGCCATATGAAAATGAACAGATTGAAATGTAGTTTTTTCCCCTTCACTGCAGCATCCAAACGTCACAAATGCTGCACGCAGACACATAAAACAGGTTTGGAATGACACGAGGGTGAGAATTTTCATTTTAATGTGAACTATTCCTTAGAAAAGTACATATTTTTGTGTGTGTTGCTGTTGCTGTGGTTTGTCATTCAGTTCTCGGTGTTTTTCGGCTGTTCGCTCAGATTCACGTATCAGAAACCGTCTGCTTCCAATATCAGCCTGCAGAGAAGTTCGTAGATGGTCACGTTACATGAAGTTATGGTTGTAAAGGCCTTTGAGGCGGCTGCCAGACTAAACACCACTGTATCTCTGGAAGCGATTCTCTGTAGAAACGTGTTCCTGTTCTTGTGCGGCTGCATTCAAACACACGAGTGGCCGAGCAAAACGCATTTTCACACAAAGCCCTACATTTAAATGGATGTACAACAAACGTATTAAATGTTAAAACTCCACAGTGGGGTTGTTGACATATTAATCTTTTGTACAATTTTGAATGGACACTCCCAGCATGCTGAGTTGGCAGCACTGATAATATTTCACCCACAACAATTGTGGAACTGAATTATCACAGGTTAAAAAAATGCTTTTGAGACATTGCATTCAGAATCCACTTGGATTGTGGATCCAGTGCTCCATCGCAGTGCTCCGCGGTGGCACGTGAACGGGCATGAACGTCTGATCAGGAATGTGTGCAATAAAGAGAAGCGATTAGGCAAGAGCTTTAGCTGATTAGATAATGCGTCTCTGCGGTGTGTTTGCCATCAGCTCCTGCTGTGAGACCGATCTTCCATTCTTCCTTTTATTTGCCGCCAGCTGTCAGCTCCAGAAACATGCAGGTGTTTGCAGTGTAAATGTTCATTAGATGAGTGCGATGTTTCGTGTGTCATCGTCACTGATGCTTAGACAATCTCCATCTCTCCGCAGCTGACCCAAGACAAGATATCTTGCCTGCCGAACCGATTCACGGATCTCTCCGGCGGAGACCGAGACTGCAGTCACCTGCGGCAGGAGAACGAGAGTCTGTGGGAGTTCGCCATCACCAAACGTCTCGGTCCGAACGTCGTGGAGGTGTTCGGCCGGAAGAACGGCCTGGATATCCACCAGTACGAGTTCGTCAACCACTTCTGCTACGAACGGGCCGTGCACTGGTACGGAAAGTACTTCCCCTACCTAGTGGTGATCCACAGCATGATCTTCATGGTGGCCAGCAGCTTCTGGTTCAAGTTCCCAGGGACGTCGTCAAAGATCGAGCTGTTCGTGATCATTCTGGGGAAGTGCTTCGACTCTCCCTGGACCACGAGAGCCATCAGCGAAGTCTACGAAGAGCGGCGAGAGGAGAGAATGGTCGTGTGGAGAAAGAACACAATGACCAAATCAGCCGCAGACAACAACGACGACATGGTGTCTCTGATCCGATCTTCCATAAAGTCCAGCTCGGACCAGAAACCGTCAGAAGCGACCGCGTCGCTCCTGGATAAGAAAGAAGGCGAGCAGGCCAAGGCCCTGTTTGAGAAAGTCAGGAAGTTTCGGACGCACGTGGAGGAGGCGGATCTGCTTTACTTCATGTACGTGCTGCAGACGGCGCTGAAGGTCTTCAAATTCGCTCTCATCACTGTTTACAGCGTCGCGCTGGTCCCCAACATCCAGATCGTGGTGATGTGCTCGGTGCCTCCGGATCTGACGGGGTTCAGTGCGTTCTGCTGTAACTACAATAAAGCACATCTGTTCTCCAAATTAGCCTACTGCTACATATGCTTCGTCGGGGTCTACGGACTGCTGTGCATTTATTCGCTTTATTGGCTGTTTCACCGACCGCTGAAAGAGTATTCCTTTGAGGCGGTTCGCTTGGAAACGGGAATAAACGACATCCCGGATGTTAAAAATGACTTTGCGTTTCTCCTGCACCTCAGCGACCAGTACGACGCCCTGTACTCCAAACGCTTCGCCGTGTTTCTCTCGGAGGTCAGCGAATGCCGCTTACGGCAGCTCAACCTCAACCACGAGTGGACGGCTGATAAGCTCTGCCTCCAGACGTGAAGGACAGAATGAAGCGCAGATAATCACAACACTGGAGCGCTGCTCTTATGCTTTGAACAAATATAGCTGATTTACTGGATGCCATCGGTGATATGAGCTCAGTAACGTGCTCTGATTACAGCAGATACAATCCTAACTCCATACATAAGTGACAGTGTTTGTGTGAAGCACTGAACTTTCACCAGACAGACTCCTACCTTCAGTTCAGTTCCAACAATATCAAGTGTTCCTGGAGATTTTCATTCGGTGCTTCAGATGTGTTTGATTAGGGTTCGACCTGAACTTTTGCCATAGGGGAATTTTAACAGTAACTTAATTAAGTGTTAAAGCCAGCCCTACTGTGAGCTACACGATTGTTGATTGATGGTTTATGCTTTTGTTAAAGCCATCAGCACTTAATATTTTAACATTTTTTTTAGTAATCATGTTTAACAGTGGACTTCTTGGTAAAAAAAAAAAAAAAAAACATGATTTAACCATGATTCTGCAAAGAAACCTTGACACCAATCAGTGAATCACGTCAAGCAAAGCTTACGAAAGAGCTCTTTAGCTCCGCCCACTCTCCCATGATGCACTGCGATGACGTAATAGCCTCTCCACGCTCTTTGTGCATATGTGCTTATTCTGCAATAAACATAAAATATGTTGTTTATATATGCACAATTAACATCTTTAAATCAACAGCTTTAGTAGTTTTTAATTAGAGTGTCATTCGCAATGGTTCATGGGATTGTAGTTCGTTCCTTCATTAAAGTCGTTAAATACACAGTCTTGTACCTTTTTTTGTACTTTATAGTTTTGACTCAAGGTTTGTAATGTTGTGATTTATCTGGTAGCTGGTTGGTTTAGTTTATGACTAAACTCTTTAATGAAGACTTTTTAAAAATCCCTATGGGAGAAACTGATGGGAGCAATACTTCTAAACCCACAGCCGCTGTAAGAGTGAGCGGACACTATTGACACGATATTAACACGACAGTAAGCTGGGCGTGAGAACAGAGGAGCTGTAGATGAGATTAGTCCAGATGTGCTGAGGCCGTGTGTGTCCCTTTAGCCCAATTAATTCTGCATTTCTGTTTTTTTCTCAGAAGTATTTAAGCTCAGATGCTTATCTATTGAAGTAAATTCACTCGGGTGTTTAAACAGCAATACCGGAGTAAATCTGATTAGAAAAAAACAGCAGACAGAGCTCTGAAAGCAAATGCATTTCTAAACAATGAAGCCTCTGTGTGTTGTTTTCTGATGGTGGGTGTGGCTGAGCGAGCGGAAATTTCCACAGGTGTGTGTGTGTGTGTGTGTAGCTTTACCTTTATACCTGCTAGCATTCCTTTTCATCTCGTGAAGTACACAATTAAAAGCTCATGGACGTTCAGATCAGCCAACCACCTGAGCTGTAAATGTCATGTGACTCCTGACTCTTGAGCTGCAGGAAATGATGTCATGACAACACCGATTGGCCGATGACAAGAACACTCACACACACACACACACACTCACACACACACACACACACACCATACACACACACACACACTCACTCATACACACACACACACACTCACTCATACACACACACACACACTCACTCATACACACACACACACACTCACTCATACACACACACACACACTCACTCATACACACACACACACACTCACTCATACACACACACACTCTCACACACTCACACACACACACACACACACAGTCGCAAAGCCTTCACTAGTGATGATCCTGAGCTGAGACGTCAAAGTCAGCACAATCAAGAACTGCGTCTACTAGAGTATAATGTAGTTGTGACTTGAAAGTTACGTGCAAAAAATTATTTGTCAGAATATGCAAATCGTTTGAAACATTTTAAATAATTTTCGATATTTACAGCATCTGCCAGCAGAAGCTAATTTGACTAGCCAGCGAGCCTTGAATCATCTGAAGCTTCAGTGACTCCCTCTGCTGGCAGACTAGAATAACCTCTGACCTCTCTCAGGTTCTGGCTCAAACAGAGAGAATTAACAGAAGTCTCTCCATCAGATTATAGTCTATAGTGAATGGGTTAGTCGGATCTGCATCTCTGAACTAAACTGTGGATCATTTTGGCTTCATTCAATTATTATATTTAGCAAAATTCATGAAATCAGTAAAATAGTTTTACAACTAAAAGGCTGCATTTCTTTTCTTAATAGCAAGACTGTGTATGTCTAGACAAAATATATTTCTTAATATATGAATGATCAATATATTAAATTATATAACAGTATATAAAAAAATATACGGAATAATATATTGTGTAAATACATTACAATATATTGAATAATACATAAGGAATTGCCGCTTTCATATATTGAAAAATATGTGACAATATATTCTTATCACAATGTATGTAATTTTATATTCAGTAATCCACTTTATAATATATTGATGTGCATGTGATAAGATGTATAGAAATATATTGAACATATTCACTCATGCAGTATATACACACATATATGGAAATATATATTTCTTGTTTAACAATCATTTACAATATACATGTTTCATATAGTTTACAATAGCATAAGCACACCTGCTCAGACTAAAGCACTAAAGACTATCACAGTGCTGACGAGCGCACAGACATTACCTTTTAAATAAAGTAACATATAGTCTTAATGGTCTAAATTTCAAAATAATACATTAAACACTTACAGATCTCCCAGTATAATAACACTGAGCAGAACACATTGAATAACACTTTAACAGTTTTACTCTCCTTTAACAGTCAGAAGCATTCTGTGTATGTGTCTATATGTGTGTACATACATTCTCATTTATATGGGAACATGAATGTGCAATATGTACTCAACAAAGGATCAAACCTTATGAATATTTGATGTATTTGTGTTGATGTTATATGGCCGGGTGTAAACTGATGTGAGTTAAAGCTCTGACTCTGAGGATGATTTACTCGCGGTGTATGTGGACTTTGTCCAGCGATCTCAAACACACTTCTGTATATAACAGCTGTTAGATTAGTCCATATTGGTGCAGAGGAGTCAGACCTCAAGAAGTAACTGATGCTTTAGAGAATCACTCATTAAGATGACGAACTGGTCAGAAAGCCTCGACACCATGCAGCAGATGCAGCGAGCGCTGTGCTGCTGGACAGAAGAGGGATCCTGAGAGTTTGGCCTGAATGCAGCGAGCAAACAAACCCTCCATTGTGTCTGCGTCTCTCCGAGTTGTAAACGCCCAGAAAAGCAGAGTTTCTGTTCAAAGCGAAGCTCTGACAGCACAATGTTTGCCTTGTACAGTCGCACACATTCCTGCTCGGGTCACCTGGAGCTCATCTTCTGGAGGAATACAGTTACACAGGAACTCAGTGTCAGATCTGACTGTAGGCTTGAAGTTAGTGATAATATACCAATGTTTGTTCAGTAATGTGGTGTAACTGAAGCAGTTTGTTCTCAAACTGTTCTGAGGAGCCACATCATGTGAAAGATGTCTGGTCCTGAGATAAAAGATGCGTGGCATGACCGAACGCCTGCCTGGTGTTGTGTGTTGATGAGGGATCCATCTGCTGGAAAACATCTCAGCATCTACGACACGGCTAATTCAGACCAACTGATTTCAGTTTATTAAACACCTTAATAAATAACATCTGAAACACCACAGTAAACATAAACGTTAATATACAAATCTTCAATAAATAAGTCAAATAAATTCATAAAATGTTATTTACAGACGTTAATCCGCAAAAAAAAACTTACACACAAAGCGATAATTCATCAGTGAAATAATTTCACAAGAATAAAACTGTTAACAGTTCAAGTTTCTGCACAGAAATGTTTTGTAAAATACCAAAGAAAGAGTTATTTACACGTGTGCCGGATCCAGTGCAGGGGCCGCTCTGTGCAAACCGGTGCTACATATTCCAGCTAATATTGTGAGCTCAACTACCAACTAACTATACATCTCAACATCCAACTTATTAATATAAATACAACCCGCTAATGATCGCCGAGGGCTCCCAAACACATGCATGGAGCCGTACAGTTCTTCAACTGGAGCTGGTTGCGATCAAGCGCTCCAAAAGCTCCACCATCTCCGGAGCGCGAGCGTCCCGGGCCACATCCAGAGCGTCGGCCCCGCAGCTGTCCCGGTGCCCCAGGTCCGAGAGCGGGGCCAGGTACTCCCCCACGTCCCCGTGGCCCTCGCGGATGGCGATGTGGAGGGGCAGGGCTCCGCTGTGGTCGGGGACGTTGACCGAGGCGCCGTGGTCCACCAGAACCCTCAGCGTGTCCAGGAATCCGGTGCGGGCCGCGTCATGCGCAGGGGTCACGCCGCAGCGGTCCTGGATGTTCGGGTCAGCGCCGTGGTCCAGCAGCACACACGCCACACTGGTGCAGCCCATCATCATCACCTGCAGCACAAAACACGCATGAATCCCCGCGAACACGTGATCATATAAAATGCAGATAATCAATGATGGTCATGACATCATTGCGGCCGGAAGCGAAAGCGAAACAAACAGCGCTGTGAGATCTATAATTACATGCTATGAATGTAAAACAGCACTTCACCTGCAGCGCGGTCTTCCCGAACTCATTGAGCGCGTCCGGATCGACCCGGTGATCCTGCAGGATCCGCCGAAGCGCCTCCACATTCCCCCGCGCCGCCGCCGCGCTGAGACTCTTCCCGCAGCCGAGCCCGTCCAGAACCATCATCCGAAGCACCTGCCGATCACACCAGACCCGATCCGAACATCCACGCGAATCTCTCCAAGCACCTGATTCAACAGCAACATGAGCGGACGTGAAGAGCATGTGAAGCGCTTACCGTTTCTCTCTCCGTCGCAGTCCGCGGATGAGCGACCGTTGGCTGTTGTTCTGTTTACTCAGATCCGCCAAAACAATCACAAATAAACGCGCTGAGCGCCTTCACATCGCGCGCTCGGCCGACAACAGCGCCGCACGACGAGCGCTCGTCAGCCAATCAGCGCTCACACACGCCAACACGGCTGCCGTAATTGGACAAAAGGGAGGAGTGCTGATAGGCGTTGCTACAGTATCGCCGTGGCAACTGCGCCAGCGACCAATGAGAAAGTAGAGCGCAGAAGGCGGGCGATTTGAGAAGGTTTATTTGTAAACTGTTGCGTTCATTCACAGAGACAGAGAGAGAGAGAGAGAGAAAACATTTTAAAAAAACATTTTAAACTGGGAAAAACATCCAATTGAAAATATGCATTTAGATTTCTGTAAAAGAATACTCAAAGTCCAAAGAAAAACACCAAATAACGGATGCAGGGCAGAATTAGGCCAATACCCTCTCCTTCTAAACATTCAAAAAAGAGCCATCAAATTCTGGAAACACCTAAAGACAAGTGACCCCAGCACATACCATTATAAAGCCCTGAAACAGCAAGAGCTGAGCCTCACGAAGAGTCCCCTCCTTCAGCTGCTGCTGAGACTGACAGAGATCAGCCAGCCTCAGAACTCACACTCACTCTCAACCATTCGGCCCACACAGATCATCAACACAGAGAAACACAAGTACATCACCCATTGGACAAACACCATCAAAAACCAGCACAAATTAGAATGTTATTCGGCACTAAATCGAGAGTACACCACGGCAAGCTACCTGAGCACAGTGACTGATGTCAAACTCAGGAAAACACTGACGATGTACAGACTCAGCGAGCACAGTCTGTCTGTAGAGACGGGCCGGCGCAGACAAACCTGGCTCTCCCGTGAGGAGAGACTCTGCTCCCACTGCAGTCTGGGAGAGATAGAGACAGAGCTGCACTTCCTCACAGAATGCCCCAAATACCTAACCATCAGAGACCACTATTACCCCAAAATAAACAAAATATTTCCCCAATTTAATAGTTGCACCCCAACCGAAAAACTTTGTTTCATTCTCGGCGAAAAAGCCAAATGTGCAAATATTGCTGCAATTGAAATTGAGGGTGAGAGCGAGAGTGTGTGTGTGTGTGTGTGTGTGTGTGTGTGTGCGCGCGCGCGTGAGTGTGTGTGTGTGAGAGAGTGTGTGAGAGAGTGTGTGTGTGTGTGTGTGAGTGAGTGTGTGTGTGAGTGTGTGAGTGTATGTGTGTGAGTGTGTGTGTGGGTGTGTGTGAGTGAGTGTGTGTGTGAGTGTGTGAGTGTATGTGTGTGAGTGTGTGTGTGGGTGTGTGTGAGTGAGTGTGTGTGTGAGTGTGTGAGTGTATGTGTGTGAGTGTGTGTGTGGGTGTGTGTGAGTGAGTGTGTGTGTGAGTGTGTGAGTGTATGTGTGTGAGTGTGTGTGTGGGTGTGTGTGAGTGAGTGTGTGTGTGAGTGTGTGAGTGTGTGTGTGTGTGAGAGAGAGAAAGAGCGGGCAGTCAGCGCATGACACACATTCATACAGTCATCAGGAATAATAAACATGTTTAGGCATATATCAGTAATTTCAGGACAAATATATTAGTTTATTATTAAACAGAAATTATTGACAACATATTCCATGATTTGGTGCAAAAAGCACTTGAAAATACATTGTGATTGAAATGCTGAGTCTGCTTACATTCAACCAACAATTTATACAATAATCTTTTTTTCTAATGAAATTCTGGCAGGATAAAATCGACTAAAACATTTCATAAACTTCCTCCAAAAACGTGCTGTGCAGTCCTCATGCGTCTCATTAGCTGTTTGTCCTCAGCTGGTAATCTAAACACATGCAGATATAAATAAATGATGATAATTAATGCCAATCATCCTCTTCACATCTCCTGATCTGCTGCACTGCCCAGCATACAGGCTTTTATAAAAACCTGCTTTGTGAGAGGATAGATGTCAACTATTCTTTGCGTTTTCCTTTTTTGCAATTTGTTCTATGTTGTAATTATGAGGCAAGGCAGGAGAAGTATTGCACTAATGGTCAAAGCAACGAGTTTCTAGCAGGACCTGATGGATATAGCCCTTTTTTTCTTTCTGTATATGTATATTAATATTAATTTAATTTTGTTTAGTGTGTCTTTGTCTATAGATTTAGTTTAAATGATTGAAAATATGTATGTTTCACATGGTTGCTTGTTTGTATGAATTAGAAAGCCTAATCAAATATGAACCATAAAAAAAAAAAGCCCTGTCTTGTTCAAGTTCTGCAAACGGCGCTCACCTCCGCTCTGTGTGATGTAGCGGACCCACGGCAGCGCCTGATAGCCGCTCTTCTCAATGATCTTCATGTATCGCACCTTTCAAATAAAATAGATTTGACATGAGTTGCAGAACTGATCACACATTCTCACTTCAGATCTTAAACATGATGACATGAGTGTAAACAGAGTGATAGTGAATGCAAACACAAGCAAATGCACTGCAAAGTCACGCTCACACCTGTATGCCGGACACAGTGAAGTACGGGATCTCAAACTTGACGGTGATCGGAGGCCTTCCCTCCAGCTCGTGATTCTCTACACTCGGCAGACCGAAGTGAGCGCGCATCAGAAACTCCTTTCCACCCTGTCGACGACACCAGAGCTCAGATTTACACAGATCCGAGTGTGTGAGGGTCAGAAACACATCTGTGATCGCTTTCTCACCGGGAACGATTTAATGCTCCACACCACCAGGTTCTTCTCAGGAACGTATTTAGCGTGACCTGTGCTGGCTTTGAACTTGGGAGAGTCGGCATCGCTCGGCACCGGCACGTGGATCTCCACATTATTGGCCACGGACTGCTTTTTAAACTGGCCTTTAGCCTGAAATGCAGAGAGAGAGAGAGAGAGAAAGAGCGAGCGGATCACGCCTGGAAATCAGTCTACACATACTGAACAATGCTGAACAATGACTCTAAAGCTGTAGATTGTGGAGTCATGAAGAAAATCTTGCTGACAAACCTTCACCATGATCTCCACCCGACTGTGAGAGAACTTCTCAATAACAGACTCGATCCAAATGAGCGGCTTCACCTGCAGACCAGAGATGGAGAAGATGAACAGAGAGACTGACACACATCGGCTGTGCGACGCTGCTGCTGCAGATCTTCTCCAGAAGTCACACTGTTTATTTTATGGACAAGTTGTAAGATCTAAAACAACTACGGTCAGGACTAAACTCACTCCTGTTCATACACCGTGAACAGATAAAGGCGTTCAGTAGCTCTAATTATCATGAGTTGAGTTATTGTGTGCTGTAGGAACAGAACTGTAGTCAACAACTAGCTGTCTGTAACGTCACAAGCATCATGGTTATTCTTTTAAAAAAATTTTCATGTAAAACAGCAGAAAACAGGTCAACTGTGTGGCCACAGAGGAAGATAAAACAGGTGTTTTGGGAGAGAGAGGTTAAAACAAAAACCCTAAGAGGCTGAAAGCAGCAGAAATATCCCAAAATGCTGCACAGGATAAAAACGAAGTAATAGATGCTTTCCAAAGTCGTCATCGTTACTGTGGTTATCTGTTGTTATGGTTACAGGCAATACTTGTGAGGAACTAGAAAATAAAACAGTACTTGACTTCAGCTAGCCTTTATTCGATCTGCTCGTGTCTGTTGTTGTGTTACAATCGTGTTAGTCGATACACAATCTGGCGCTCACGTGTGTGTTGATCCGGTACGACATGAGCTCAGACTCTCCGTCAGGCGGGATGAAGGAGATGGTTCTGTCGCTCTCGAACCGTGACAGACGAACACACTGATGAAACTTCACATCCTCCATAGCCACAGACTTCCCTTTATCTCCTGCACACACACACACGCACGCACACACACACACACACTCTCACACACAAACACACACACACACACACACACACACACACTCTCACACACACACACACACACACACACACACACACACACAAACACTGATGTACCTGAGAGAGAAACACACGTGAGGAGACGAGCTTCAACATGATGATCGCGTGAAGCCGACGGCTCTTACTCCTGAAGGATCTTGCTGTCTGTCGTCTGCGGGAAACCGAAGTCCATGAGCTCGTCCAGCAGCTCGTACACCACCACGAAGTTATCCTGGATGCTCTCTTCCTCCAGCTCCTTGAAGTACTCCGTGAACACCTGAACACACGGCACAGGAGAAGCACGCTTGTTTCTCAGCATGACATTCAATGCGTTCGGTTAAATCTAAACCTCGCTTGAAGAATCCACCCCGGTAGTTAATGAAGGACCACGAGTCGTCTCGGACTCACCTCCACCAGCTTGTACAGGAAGGCGTAGACCAGAGACGCATTGGAGTTCTTGTTGGTGGTGGCCACCACTGATGTTATCGGCAGGGTGAGGGAAAGAAAC